ATCTGTACTTATACAGTGTGTTCAAGATAAGAATGAATCGCTTGGGGAAATCGGAAACCATAAGAGATACACAGAAAAAAGTTGCGTATTTTAGGGCTTGGTAAAATTATGTTTTTAAAAACTCGGAGATTCCGAAGATTTTCGAAAATAACCATAATTAACCATATTCGTTTTAATTTTGCCTAACCCTGTTTGAAAAGTTATACAAAAATTAACACTTTTTAAGCTCTAAAAGATGGCGCCCACAGATTTTCATTGCGACGTTTCGTCTTTGAAACAGCATCATCAACTTCGTATTTTTATATGGGCCCGGAAAAAAGTACATACTGTATTGAGTAGCCATCCAAATGCGTCTTAGTGCCTTTTAGTGTTGTCAGCAGTTTTTCAGTTTTCATTGCCTTCGAGATATTTTCTACAGGCTTTGAAAGCCTTTAATTAAGATCAGAGTCTTTAATGGTACCTTTAACAGCGTGTTTGAATATTTTTATATTCAAAGACAGCGTTTAATAATATTCTTTAAACGGTTATGGAACTTATCTTGAACTACCTGTAAGAGCATGGTCCTTAAAAACTGTTAAAATTCCTTACGGATCTCTGAAAGTTTTTAAAAGCCTTTATAGGTATGTCATAAACATGTTCCAAGAACATCAAAGAGAGAAGGTTTTAGAGTCCTTGATAGGCTCTCCGAGCTTCATTTAAAACGTTGTTTAAATCTCCGAGAGTTTTTAAGTGTTAAAAGTATCTTAAGTTCCATTCAAGAATATTTAAACCTTAAAAAGCTAGCCTTTGATATTTTAGTCTTTAGGGATCTTCAAAAGTTTTAAAAGGCTTCAAGACGCCTTGATAATCTTTAATAGACATCTTCATGAGTCCAGCAATAAAAATGTTTAAAGCCATTAAGTAGCTTTTAAGTACCCTTAAGTATTTTTTTATGGAATAATGTGTCATGTGATAGTTTACTTTGAGCTCCTTCGAATTTGAAAACATTTGATTTATTAATTATCAAAGGCCAACAATCTTATAATTTGAATAAATTTTAAAGAAATTGAAAGTGGTGAGCGCTGACAGAAGTGAGTACATCTTTCTCTTTAACACTCCTTCGCTCTTTTGTTTTTGCTGGACTGTATTTTAGAAAAAAAAACGCGCGCGGTGGGATTCGAATCCCCATCATCCAGCGTTGTAAATCGAGTGAGCAACTGAACTACTATCGCCTTCATAATATTCGCTTATCTGATATAAACGCGACAAACTTATACGCATAATTAATAAGAAGCAGTCACATCAAATTATCCTAAATTGCTAGGCGCACGGTCGGTTATGCCACAGAACATAGAAGCGTACTCTATATTCTATGCCTACGGCGTTACAAATGGGATGATTTTACTCCCGTACAAAACATATATCTTCTACATACCGAGCGATCAGAAGTATCCACTTCATAAACTTAAAGAATTATTCAAATTATTGTCGAAATAGGAAGCGAGAAAACAAATTTTGTAAAGTGAACTTCCCCCTCATATGTTTCCTTCAAATGTATCTCCCGTTCCCTTACTTTTCCTCAAATACTCGTCAAGTTCTCAAATTCCCTCCATGTGCCTCATGTTCAATTTCTTCAGCGTTTCTTATCTCTCCAAGATCTGTTTTCAACCGTCTCAGAGTAGAATCTTCTTAAGGTCATTTTAGGAACTTTTTTTTAGCTCTTACTATCTTCTGAGAACCATTTCTTTAATTTTTAGAATGTCTACAACATTCACAATCATACCTTAAAACATTAGTAGAGACAAAACAAAAGAATAGAAATAAGAAAAAATTTCTCTTCTTACTATCGAAGAAAATTTTCAGAACTAGGATGATCTTGCCATCTTCTTGGAATTTTCTTAGAATCTTTGATGATTTCGAAATAATATTAGATTTTTGTTATCGGCCCTTCTTAGAATTTTCAGAACCATGATAATCATTATAGCCCTTGTAGAACCTTCTTAGACCCGTATTGGAATTTTCTGTAAAACTTTTTAGAGTCACCTTAAAATTGTAAAACTCTTTCTTAATTTCCTCGTAATCTCGAGAGAAGCTTGAGGTTTGAGTAGAACGTGAAGAGAATTTGAGGAGAACTTGAGAGGAAGACTTTTACTGGAGCTGAACTTAAGACTTAAAAAAAATAGCATCTATGGTTAAAACGTCAAAAAAATGCGCGCGCATGCGCATATCTAATTTTCACAATATGCGACATGTTTGCCCTTACACGTGGTTAAAATTTTGAAAAACTATTTCTAAATAAGAAAGGTCGCATTGCGCACTCTGCGCATGCTCACACCTGGTATTTACAATATGCGATATGATTGCCGGCAGCTAAGAAAGCGAGACCGGGCTATGCGCAGATGCGCAATTAATAGAATATGAATAATGGGATGTCATCTCTTGCCTTCTTAGCTGCCGGTACCAGTAGTTTGTTTTCGATTTTGACGTGGACCATGATATAAAAGATACTTCAAATATTTTTTGTCAATGTCAGTATTAGTATTTATTTTCTCAAATTTTGCGTTGATAATGTTTATAAAAGAAACCTGATCGTTTTGGATCGCACAAAATTTGTGTTGCCCTAGGTGAAAATATATAAAACAAAATAATCATGGCACACTATACAAAAATGAAAAACGTAATACCTTAACATACCTGGACCAAAATATTTAAAAGGAAATGTTAGGGTTTGTTTATGAATGAATAAATAAATTAAACAAATATACCAAACGAGCTCCTGGGTATGGCTATAGCATGTGCAAAACCAAATTTTAAACCTAATGTTAGTTTTGCTTTTATTTAAAGTGTATATGTATGAAATTTCATTTAATTGCTTCCATAAATCGGGTAGTTGGCACTGCACATCCTACACCAAACCAAATTTGGAAGATGGCGCTACATTTTATTTTATTCCAAGTGGCTATGTATCAAATATCCCTCCATAAATAAGAAAGTTGGCACTGCGCATGCGCAAAACGAAATTTTGAAACTCTCGTTAAATTTGTTTTTATTCCAAGTGGCTATGTATGAAATTTCATTTAAATACCTTCATAAATAAGAAAGTTTGCAATTCGGTCTGTAAATGGTCGAGATGCGCAAAGGGCACTGTGAATGCTGATCGATTAGGCTCAACTTTTGGAATTGTGTTTTATATGGCTAAAGCTGGATTCACATGAATACGAAATCCGACGATACAGTCATCCGAAATGCTTATAATTGGTCAATAGTTTGAAATGTCAAGCACATTTCAAATTATTGACCAATCATAAGCATTTCGGATGATCGTATCGTCGGATTTCGTATTCATGTGAATCCAGCTTAAAGCTATGCGCATGTTGAATTTCATGCAATTCGGTTCATAACTAACGGAGATGTCAAAAAGGCCTACTTTATTTTTTTGTTTACATTGCCAATTCACGAACTCCGATCTACAAATTTGATAAAGCATGCACCTGCAAAATTTCATCGTAATCCGTCCATTCGTTTATGAGTTATCGTGCTAACGGACGGACGGACGGACACCGCAAAATTATAAACTCGCTAGGAGCTCGTTAATAATATGGTTGTTTGTAGTGGTGTTAAATATGGAAAATTAAAGATTTAAAAAATCCATTTTCACAGCTGAAGAAAAACCGCAACAATGTTTCAAAATTTTCAAGAATAATGAAGTTATGGATTCCCTTCCTAAACGTAGACTTTTCAAAAATCCCTAGTAGCTTGAAAAAGGCTTGATAGGTGACGGTTTTCGCCATTTAATTTATCGAAAATGAGGTCAGTGTTTTTCTAACTCCCCCGGAAGTAGGTAAGTACCTATCCAAATCCATCAAAGTGTTCATGTGGAGACACCCTGTACTCCTCTTTGAATTTGTGGTAAACCGTCAGATCTTTCGGATTTTACTTAACTGCAAACTGATTCGAGTGACATTTTTGGGCTAAAGGCTGTCGGTTTTCTATGAGCTCCCATTCTTAGTTCTAAGATCTCGGACAAACGTACGGAATTCATACAAGAAAATATTACTGATTATTGAATTTTTCATTAAAAATGTAGTAAAGGAGGACAATAGCCGGTCTTTGAACGATCGTCTAATGTCTTGGACAGTGGACTGGATCGGATGTGCAAAAAAAGTGTTCCGTTTACGACATTTCGAGATTTCACATTTGATGTACCTACTCCAAACAATTAAGAAGTAATTCGCAACAGCCTTACTTTCTATAATTAGCTTGGATGAACACGTGTATCTACCTAATCAATATCATCCTATCTACGCCTTAGTTTTGTTCATTTTGGGGTGTGTCGTGAGAAAAACCGTAACCGGCTATAATTTCCTCTCGCGCATTTATTTTAAATTGTCGATTTAAAATATGCAAACGACAACGAAGGATCGTTTATAAATTCCTCAAAAGGTATGCGTATAGGGCGGCACGAATTTGCGTCGCCTCTTGCTTCATTCATTAATCGATGAATGAAGACAGCCACCCAAGAAAAACGTTAATTAGAATTTGAAGAATTCGGTTGCTCATAGATAATGAGTGACATAATTTAAACTTGTTGCCAAATTTGCAAACAGCTCGCGAAAAAATAAGCTGTAACGAGCTTTACAGTAAATAAATTAATTACAATCGCAATTAAACGGCAAAATTCAAGGTCGAGGAACGAGGACAAGACCCCGAGATGAATCGTTTCGCCGGCCGGCATGTTGATAACCGTCGTCTTGCCCGCGATCCTTGTAGTTAGGTTAGGCCAAATTCACCGTTGAATCTACCAATCGGCGTACAATATTCGCTTTATGCCCATATATGGTAACGTTTGTAAGTTACTGTGGCGGGGCGGGCACGTCCATTGCGATCACGTCGTAGGGGCGGCCGTGAGCTTTCAACGCGTAATTGTCAATTATTTTCTGGCAAATCGACGATTTTTGCAATTAATTTCGATCGCCGCACGTCTCGCCGTGTTAAAACTTCGCGGGTTCGAGCGAATTTCGTCGAAAAAACGTGATAATTTTTCGAATTTCCCTACGGGTTTACCTCTACCGGTCCGATTCGAAAGTTCCACTTCCTCAAAGTTGTAAACCGGCATCTTTCAATCGTACGCTGTTCGTTGCCGACGTTGACGTTCTGTGACGTTTTTTTCTGTTAAACGGTAAGATACTTTTATTTTTATCTTTTATTAATGCTCGTTATCCTTTTGCTCTGAGAAAATTGCGTAATTGTAATTAGTGTTTGATATGCAATTGTTAGGGATCAATTGAAGTTAACGGCAATTTTTTGGGAGTAACAGGTTGTTTGGCACAGGCTCAAAGAGTCAGGTGGTTGTTGTCGGTTTAAAATTATACGACCTCGGCATTGAAATTTTATTATTAACTGGCATGCTTGCAAGTTGCAGTGTCCGTTCATCTTCTTCGAGCAAACAATATATAACAAAAGTACGTTCACCGGTTATGCCCCAATTTTCCTATCCCCTCAATGGGTTTTCATTACGTTGTCTCACAATTTTCACCCTAGGCTTGATTTGTAGGGCGTGGTTTCCAATTTTGGTCTTAATCGTAATTGTTTCGGCTTTCATTGAGATGTCATGCAAATTTCCGCGAACCGTTTTTTTTAAATAATTTGAAGTGTGTCATAAGATGAGTTGTTCGCCGCGCGGGGAAAGGGGGAGGGCATCGCTGCATTGTAATACCATATATGGTAATGTTGCTGGCGATTGGCTCGTGAAGCACTGATACTGCGCCGGTATGCTGTCATTTTAACGATGGTGGGGCGATGACCCTTCGTCGCTTATATATATGGTTAACCGCTTTTAAATTTCAGACATTCTTCTGTGATATTCGGTACGGCACGTTATAGCTGTGCTAGAAATTTGTACATAATTTAACTTGAAATTTTTTATAAAGTAAGTGTCTTGTGTTATACTGTAGGGTGTGGTTTTTGTGCCTTTAACGGATTTCACTGTGTGCTCATCGTGATCAATAACGTTTCCATTCATAAATTTGTGACGCCACCCCCTTGATCCATTCACAAGTTCGTTGGTAACAGTTTTTTTTTTTTATTTGCAGTACTAATCCAAAATGTGTGACGAAGAAGTTGCCGCCTTAGTTGTTGATAATGGTTCCGGTATGTGCAAAGCAGGCTTTGCTGGCGACGATGCACCCCGGGCGGTGTTCCCATCAATCGTCGGTCGCCCCCGTCATCAGGGCGTCATGGTTGGTATGGGCCAAAAGGATTCGTACGTCGGTGATGAAGCACAAAGCAAAAGAGGTATCCTCACTTTGAAATACCCCATCGAACACGGTATCGTGACGAACTGGGACGATATGGAGAAAATTTGGCACCACACCTTCTACAATGAACTTCGTGTTGCACCAGAGGAGCACCCTGTTCTTTTAACCGAAGCCCCATTGAACCCAAAAGCCAACCGTGAAAAGATGACCCAAATCATGTTCGAAACCTTCAACACACCCGCCATGTACGTAGCAATCCAAGCAGTTCTCTCACTGTACGCTTCCGGTCGTACCACCGGTATCGTCCTGGATTCCGGAGATGGTGTCTCGCACACAGTACCGATCTACGAGGGCTACGCCCTACCTCACGCCATCCTTCGTCTGGATTTGGCCGGTCGTGACTTAACCGACTACCTCATGAAGATCTTAACTGAACGTGGCTACTCCTTTACGACCACCGCCGAAAGAGAAATCGTACGTGACATCAAGGAAAAACTCTGCTACGTCGCGTTGGACTTCGAACAGGAAATGGCAACCGCTGCCAGCTCGAGCTCCCTAGAAAAAAGCTACGAATTACCCGACGGTCAAGTGATCACCATCGGCAACGAGAGGTTCCGTTGTCCCGAAGCTCTCTTCCAACCGTCGTTCTTGGGAATGGAAGCGTGCGGCATCCACGAGACCACCTACAACTCGATCATGAAGTGCGATGTTGACATCCGTAAAGATCTCTACGCCAACACCGTACTCTCCGGCGGTACCACCATGTACCCGGGCATCGCCGACCGCATGCAAAAGGAAATCACCGCGTTGGCTCCATCCACAATGAAAATCAAAATCATCGCTCCTCCTGAAAGGAAATACTCCGTATGGATTGGAGGATCAATCCTCGCTTCGCTCTCGACATTCCAACAGATGTGGATCTCGAAACAGGAGTACGACGAATCCGGACCATCCATCGTCCACAGGAAGTGCTTCTAAACTCGTATTCATCAACACCCTCATTCCTGCATCATTCCAGTTGTATTATATCTGCGATAGGCTGCCGTTATACGGTAATCGGAACTGCCATGTTTTTTGTATACAAGTACGGCGCCTTTCGGGCATCGCGCGGCACTTGCATTGCACTAGGCCAAAGTATTATTACTTTCTTAATTTTGTAATAATTTATTTCCCATGTGCAGATTTCAAGACTATTATAATATTATTTACTTTAGGCTAATAAACTATGGGATAATAAAAATGTATATTACAATTATTTTTCGCTTTTTTTCGTCCTTTGTATTTATTCTGTTGTTTTATACATTAAAATTGATTTATAAAAATTCCCATTTTTGAATAATTTTTGTCCTTGTTCTTTTGTTCAAAACTAGTGCGTGTACCTATTCCAAATATCAATGTGGAATATCTTCTAAAGCTGTTCTTGTCCAATGTTGGCCAGGCCAAGTGAAAATTGGGAAATGAATTAAATAAATTGCTATACATCCAACATTTTCACAAATGTTCTTTTGACGCTGCTGGTGAAATAATGTATTGAGCATTTTCTCTTGTGAAAGTGAACACAATTCTTTAGATTTATTATGATTACATTACATGACTAGGTAGATTAAAAAACAATAGGTATAAATCCCTTGGTACTAATGAATGAATGCTCTTCAGACCGCCTTGTCATTGAATATGCACTATTCAATGCCTTAACGTAATTCTTTATTTTCTTTTTTATATAATTTCTATCTCCCTTGGATTTTTGGTTTGCTCTTCTTTTATTGATTGGTTGTGCTACTGTCTGGCACTGCACAATCAATAAAAGAAGAGTGGCAGTCTAATGGCTGTTTGTAAATTGCACTCACAAATTTAAGGTTTGGATTTAGAGAATATAGGCAACTGGTGATGCAAATGTAATTCAATGGGGCGTGCATTGCCTCTGAACTTCATTCACCATTTCATAAGCAAGGAGTGTATATGATCGGAAAAATATGTATTAGGTAGATAGATGTAGAGAGCATAGTTTCCATACAATATGAACTGATATTTTGTCCATTAATATATGTTTAAAAAATATAGAAAACGTGTCAAGAGTTCCTACTATAGGAATTAATTGCAAAAATTAGGGAGCATTTTAAGCAATACAACTGTATAGGATGGGCAGCGTGAATTCTTATCTATATTTTGGCAATTCATGTGAAGCTCAAAAGTTTTCATAAAAAAAGTGGTGAATGAAGTTCTGAAAAATGGGCATGTAAACTGGAGAAATGGAAATAAACTACGCAGCTGTGACTAAATATCGCGGTCAACAGTGTAGCTTCTTTCTCACAGAGGGTGCCACCAAGAGTTTTATGAAGCCAGAAAAAAATATGATAAAGACGTGAAATAAGCGCTTTTATCTTGTGATGGAGTTGTTCTTACTTTTTAACTAGGCTAGTACTGTGTAATGGGAATAATAAAAGACAAAAATTTACGAGCAAAAAAACTAGCAGGCTATGTAAGTTGCCTATGTTAAATCATTTAGCGATTCTCTTTCAAGGTTGAACAGAGCGTGTTAAGCCTGTCTCACAACACAATTGACGCCAACGTGAACGCTAACGCGAACGTGAACGTGAGCATTTAATTAAAACATGAATATTTACTATTTCCATTCACATATAACGCAACGGGAACGGGAAAACGTGAAACAAACGCGACAGTTGGTCAACTTTTATCTTTCCCGTTCCCGTTGGCGTTTTAAACATGCGCGCGCTTGCGATCCAGCCACATAACCTTTAAAGACCAAACAAAACTTAATTATTTTTGTACGAAGTATTGCATGATTATCCGTTTGTTGAATTGAATAGAATAGTCTGTAAATATGTAACATGAATACATAAACTATTACTTCGTCAGTTTCGCTGTCGGTATCCATTTTTTAGGTTAGTTCAACTACCACAGAACACATTTTAATAAACAAAATATTCCGTTACAAAACTTAACATTCCAGGAGCGTAACGTTAATTGTGAGACTGCGAATTTGTTCATGTTCACGTTACCGTTTGCGTTTCCGTTGGCGTTTACGTTTGCGTCAATTGTGAAACAAGCTTAATAGTAGAATTTGCTGACAGCAAGAAAAAAATCGTTCACTGGAATATTTTTATTTTGTCAACTACTTGCTTGGAAATTTATTTGGTTTCCCTTTCCTATTTATTGCAAAAGGTACCTCCTCTACCTACCGTTTTATGAAATATGAAATAAATAATAGAAATGGGGATAGGTAATATTCCTTTACAACAAATATCAAAATTTTACGTTATTTTTAGAACAAAGGGCTGTTGTATATTGTTGTTGATGTCTGGCAAGCTGCGGCCTTGTGTGGGTGTTTATTTGTAATGCGATTTGTTTGACCGTCTTCCATATTCTTTATCTTTGCTTATTGCAGATTAAAATACCGCAACTTTATAATCCATACCTTGTTGCAATTTAAATTTTTTGAACTTCAATAGTACCATTGAATAAAGCTCTTTATTCAATGATAGTACCTATTACATATGATATTAGTATTAATTTATAATAGTGTACCTAATGTGTAATAATTGACCTATACAGGGTGATTCAAATTGGAAAGCCACCATGGGGATCTCGGGAACTATAGATAGGTAGAGGTTATTTGACAAAGTTACCCTTGATGGGGCCGGGACACTTCGCCGAATGCCCACAACGCCGACACGATTTTTGCATGGTCCATATCGCCCACTTATGACCACTTTTTTCCCTCTACAAGATGCTACTTTTAAATTTTAAGTTCGTCTCCAGTCAACCATCATCAACTTTGTTTTTTCTTATGGAAGCATTTTTGAATTTTTGTGGCATTTGATAAATAATTTTTTTCTGATTTCAAAAATATAAACGTCAACTATTTTTAATAAGAAATAACGCTATTATTTCGTAAAAACGCAAGAAACTACTTACGTACGTTACTTAAGAGTTGAGACAAAGGCAAAAAAAGATATTTTACAAACATTAAAAAATTGTTATGTACATTATTGAAATCAGAAAAAAAATCTCTATCAAATCAAAAATTACTTCCATAAGAAACAAAGTTGATGATAGTTAACCGGAGACGAAACGTCAAACTTCAAATTTAAAGGTAGCATCTTGTAGAGGGAAAAAAGTGGCCATAATAATGTGTCATTTATTATTAAATATCTTTGTAAATAACTTCAGTAAAAAACAAAAACGATTTTCAGAATTTCGTTTTTTTTTCCGGAAGTAGTCAGAATTTTCAGTTTCAAAACTGCATTTTGTTAAGCATCAAAATACACAACTTTGCCAAATTTAAACTACCTACCTATCTCTTACAGTTCCCGAGATACCCATGGTGGCATGGGCGTACGCAGGGAGGGGCCTGGCCACAGGTTACGTTTTATGTTTGTTAAAAAATATATGTAAGAATTGTCTTTGATGTTGGCTTCTAATTCAAAACCTTTTCCTTTGAGATTTAAGCAATGAAAGAGGTTTTAAGCCATAAATTAGGGTACCGATCCTGAAAATCGCTGTTCCCATGCCCATCGGATTATTCGGCACACCGGCACCTGCATAGCTAGGCGCCGAGCCCGGCTCACCTGCCATCGGGCTGAGCGAAGTTATCGTTCACTAATCGCCCGTTAACACAAACCACTCTGCAGTGGTCACCAGTGATGTTCCGGCTACCGATTTTTCGGTAGATCTACCGATTTGCCTAAAATTCTACCGATATACCGAAATGGCCTTTATATCTACCTATCTATTTCCGCCCCGTATTTTTTTTGCATATTTAATACAAAATTAATTGATATTAAAGGGGTAATAACTAATATTTTGAGATATAATAATTTTGCAGACGTTTTTAGTAACTATTACCTACTCAAAATAAAAATGTATATTATGTGTTTCATTAAACATTTTTTTTTCGCCAATTTTATTTTTTGCCCCTCCCTAGACCAAAAGCTGCGTACGCCCATGCATGGTGGCCCTCGCATTTGAATCGGCCTGTATATTACTAATTTACAAAAGACCATCCTTCGAATGTAAGACATGTGGAACAGAGATACAAATGTATATTTAGGTATAAACGGGTAAAAAATTAAAAAAAAAATCGGTATACCGTATGTTCCCTGATTGACTTTACAAGAAGAAAAACTTTTACTATACTTTTTGACAAAAATGCATTCTCCATAAAAGCTTTTCCTTGTTCTAATTCGAAATTTCCCTACCGTTTCAGAGAAAAATACAAAAAAAAACGAAAATATGGTTGCACTTTTTCCAAGTCCTAAACGTCAAAACGCGTCTCTACTGTAATAACATTTCGTTAGTTACAGAGTCTTGGAGTTGGTCGTGACCTGTTATTTGAATAGGTACTTTAGGATCGCATAAGACTCATAAGTAGGTACCTATAACAAACACACTTCGTAATGACAATTGACGTTGAATAAAAACCTCTATTCTATTCTGTATATCTGTGGGTGTGCAAACGGACATAAGTTACCTAACAGTTGCAGTCTTATTATTTGCGCATTTTCCAACGAAGTTGGGTGCGCTATTGCAGCCAATTTCTTTGTCCGTCCATTTGTTCGTACTCATTTTTCAATACATTTAGTATTGGTTCTTTTTGAATTCAGTAGCTCATATAGGCGCGAGTAGCATATTCGGATGTGGCGCCGTCTGGTGGCGAATTTAACATAAGGTGTGGTGAAACAAGTTCATCAACCGTTTATTACTGTATTAATATTTACAAGCTCTGCTTACTCCAAATAAAAGAACAATTATGACTTCGAAAAACACTTTTCGTTCGGCCAGAGTATCTTGCTGTGTTGTTGGATGCAGTAATTCGTACATAAATACGGACTCTTCTGTAAAATTCTACAGCTTTCCCAACAGACCGTATGAGTTGCAAAGAAGAGAAAATTGGATAAAGAAAGTGAGAAGAGTTAAGTACACATCTGTTTTGCTATTATTTTACATAGTTTCGTCTCCAGAACGGCCGTTTTTTTTGTAATTTTTCTTTTGTGTGCAATAATCCAATTTGAGGTTATGATCAAGCTATTAAAAGGGATCCCCGCGTTAAATGACTTGTAAAACGGCCCCTTGCTCCCGACTTGTTGTGTAGATGGTTTCCTGATATTTTCCACTTTTCACCCACCAAAGAATATATTAAAAATGGTGTTTCTGGAGACACCGAGACAATTCTTGTCAGAAATCGTGTTTACGAACTAATTTGCACGTTTGTTATTAGAACTGAAAATGGAAAAACATGGACTGTTTCATATAATATTTACGTAAGTCTCTATTTAAGAACGAAATTTAATATAATTAAACAATAATGCAACAAGAAAAGAAGCCTGAATTTTTAAAATTCCTGCAAGACTGCTGGCTGTAAGTGTAACTACACTGTAAGTTACTATATAGAATCTGGTAACTTCCGCCATTTTTGGGCAAAAATCATGCGTTCTCTCTCTAACACACGAGCCCAATGGATTACGGTATTTTCTATATTTAGGGCCAATTGCAGCGTCAAAATTAAGTATCCCGTAAAGTTAAGCATAACTTAAATACCAGCAACGATTGTCTTAATAATCGTTGCCATAGATTTTAAGTTCGACTTAACTTTAAGCAAGGCTTAATTTTTTTGGTGCAACTGGGTCTAGTGACTTTATAGTATATTAAGTATGGAGAACGGTAAGGGATTTTTACCGTTCGAAGACAATTGTTTGGAGGAGGAGCGAAGCGACGACTCCAATTATTGTCTGAGAACGGTAACCCTTAACGTTCGACGTGCTTATAACATTTTTTGCGCGATCTAAATTAAATTTATGCAACCAATATAAATATGCACTAAGAAATTAACGAGCAGAATAAATCGAAATGATCGAAGTGGTATGGTGTATATCACTAGGTAACCAGTTTATTTGTCAAAATTGAAGTTAATAATTTCATAAAAATGTGCATGTGTCTGATGTAGTTTACTAGCTTTGAACTTCCTTTATGACTTTATGAGCGTCTTGCTATAGGAAACAACAGCACAAATTGTACGTTTAATGTACCTAACAATAATTAAAGATTAAATGTAATGTAAGACTGTTGATTTTTAAAAAGGCGTCGGTAAGTATTTTTGCTGTTCTGTTTTTAGATCGGTAAGTAATTTTATTTCATACTATCTAGTAATCGCCGCTTTCCCAGACTGATTTGAGTCTGGTGAATCGTATTTTACCAGACTGAAAATTTTTACCAGACTGGAAATGTTGCCCAGCAACATCAATTGACATCCATCTAAACCTATGTATTAATGTGTCAAACTACTGTCAGATCAAATAAATCAAGTGATCGACTTTTGCTTTCAATTGAACGCGTACACGTTCTAATCAAAAATTGTATGGCATTTTAATAGAAAAAAGAGCAGTATGAAATAAAATGTTTTACATCATTTGTATGTTAAATCAGTTAACGTTACTCGTTTCGAAATTCCTGCCTCAGCTACGCTTCGGCAGTAAACATCTCACTCGTTAACGTAAACCTTGATTTACCATACTCATATGTAAATAACTATTGACGTCGTCGTAATCATAGCAACTGGTAAATTCTACCTACTGTCATGGAAACACCCATGGTAAATAGTCAGAAATGACCGATCGCGCAAAAATATAAATAAAACACATGGCGCTGGAGTGCAATATTCGCTACTCGCCTACAGCCTACTTAAAAATATGCCCCAAATTAGACAAAATTAGTAACTAACTGATTTTTGGTGGGGTGTTAGTATATGATAGGTATTTTCTGAAAGTTCCCCTTACTTCCCCCGGTACAGCGATAGAAAGAGCCTGTGACCGGAAAGTAATGAAATAATAATTAATATGACAGCCAGATCTTTATTTGTTTCAAGAAGTTATTTTGGTTGCATAAAATTAGGCTTCTTTCAGAAGCTTTTATCATTTAAAAGTAGACATAGACAAATAAGTAGTTAACGGGTCTCTAGTTCCATGTTTCAAATATACATTCTCTCTGCAGATACCTAGCTATTGTTAAGAGAAGGTAACACAAATTACCTCACAGCATTGAATAGAATGTTTAATACAATGCTCACAGGTAGAAGAGGCACACCCTTACACCAAACGAAACCCGCTCCCTTTACACTCTACAGCATAAGGAAAATTATCAAGTATATGGAACCAAACTGTTAATCTGCCATGTACAAAAACTACAGGTGTCTTAAACTGGGAAGCTACTCTTAAATAACCTTATTATATGTCGATACTGTCAAGATAACTCAAAAGTGAGTAAATACACACAGTCGAATGCATTTTTTTAGACGGTAGTTTAGCTTTCAACCATTTATTTTGATCCAAGATTTTAGTAGGTACCTAATGCAAGCCACTTCTGGCAACCTGGCATGGCATGTACAGGGTGCAACAAAAGCAAGAATAAATAGTCTTTGGATACTGTCCACAGCCTTTGTTAAATCGTGTAAACCTTTAGTTTTTGTCAAGTAGTTGAGAGGATGCGGAGAGTGGAGGTTGTATAAATCATTCGAATATAAGCTCCAAATGCATATGGTCCTGTCCTATACTAAACCATTTAGGATAAAGAAACAATATGCTTTCTGAAATCAATTTCTATCTTTTTTGGTAACTTTATCTACAATTTCATTCATTACTTTAGCAAACTGTGATTCAGCACATTCAGTTACTGCAGATTTACCTAAAAGTGTACCAACTTTAGGATCAATAGGTAATGTACCTAATAATGGAATTTTCGTATGCTCTGCCAACGACGCAGCTCCACCTGTACTAAAAATATTCGTACATTCCGAACAATGCGGACACGCATATCTGCAATAACAATACTGTAAAATAGCACTACAACATTTACAGCTCACCCGCTCAAATTTTCTACAAGACCAATGATCGGTATTCCAGTCTTATTACAAAATGTGATTTCCTTCCTAACATCTTCAATAGCTACTTCCTGAGGGGAGCTAATAACAATGGCACCATCACAATTGATCGATTTTAAATTTTCCATAACAGTTATGTGCTCGTCCGATGTGCCTGAAAGCACAAAGTGCGCATACTTAAAACAGAAATATTCCTACTTACCTGGTGGGGTATCGATAATCAAATAATCTAAATCGCCCCAATGAACGTCATTCAAAAACTGTTTAACCATAGCCGTTTTCTTCGGACCACGCCACACGACGGCGGAATTACGATTATTTAAAAGGAACCCTATGGACATAACGGCAAAATTTTGTTGAGTGTCAGTGTACACCGGAAGCCACCTACGATGTACTACTATGTAATGAGAAGAGGTCAAAGTACACATTTACCCTTCGGCATGTTGGTGCACGCTTTTGTCCTCCAGGTTCAGTAAGTATGGAATGCTGGGCCCACATAAATCTATATCCAATAGGCCAACCTGAAATATAGCAGAGTAGATAGAGTGTAGCTAAATTTCCGATAGACAAACTTTCAAGTTGCGCTCCTTCAATGCCAAAGCAAATTGGGTGCTAAAAGTTGATTTCCCAACTCCGCCCTTTCCAGACACCACCAGGATTATGTGTTTTACACTGTCTATCATTTTTTGGAGATTTTTCGTTTCAATTAGATCAATTTGAAGTACTTTTTAGTATGTGTTAATAAGTAAGGTTAGTCACAGACTACAAAATTACAAACGCACACCTGTTTGCAGTAGAGTAGATCTATGGGTTAAAGGTGTGTTTACACATAAGTCACAATTTACACCCTTCACAATTAGCTGATTCTTTAATTTTCTTGTACAGTTTCTTAAAGGTAAGTTCATAGCTCTCCGTTCATACGTTTCCGTTTGTCCGTTAGCCAATCAGAAGACAGCAAATTTTTAAATCGTACGTCGTCCGTTTACGACGGAAAAGTTGGTTGAAGTTGAACATTTACGTTTCCGTTGGTCCGTTTTTAACAAGAGTGAGGTTATGTTTGGTATGTTAACAGCGTTCGTCTATTCGTTCTTCACGGTAATAATCAGATAGCAATGTTTTCTTACTTTCGTACCATTTTCACATACTGAAAATCACGGAGGGTACAGTACAAAATAAAGTTTAGGTTATATGGTTATACTTGCAAATGTACAATGTGGATGGATTGCTATAAACCTTAACAAAACGTACTATCCGTTTGACGGATCAACGCAACGTATGAACGGAGAGCTATGAACCCACCTTTAGAATTTAACTTGACCTGACTGTATAGTATATCCTAATCAATTTCACCGTAAATCTGACGAAAACAATAATTAAGTAGCCAGCCTGTTGACGTTTGTTTATTGAAGCATTCTTGCTTTCTTTAGAATCATGTTTGTTTATTATGTACAACAGGTGCCTTACAAAGTTTCTATTTATGTCTTCACGTGGAAGATATTATTAGTAAGATGTTTCTCTGTACAAGTCGAATAACCCTTTAAATACCATGGAGGAAGTACCTCTTACAGTTCTTCGCTCTTTTTGTTGCTTTCTCATCTCGTACAGACTAACAGACTGCAGCTCCTTTGTTTTAGCAATACGAGAAGGGGCAGGGGGGTACTTTAATTGACATTCCTTCTGTTTAGTTTGTGGATTTAGACAATTTCAAATCTCAATCGCTATACACATAATCAAGCAAATAATAGAAAAGGCGCACTGTAGTATCGTGAAATATTGTTTATAGTTTTTAAACAGGCTTTCGGTACAATAAATCTGACAGAACTAACAACCCTCGACCAGCTGGTCGGGCGTGATCAATGACTTTGACATGAAATTAATCCCAAATCACGTCACCCCGTCACAAAGCAGGTACCGGACGATTACCTATGAAACCACTAATAAATCGATTAATCGAAATTACTACCTACTTGCGCTGGAAGAGATGCAAATACCATCAAAGTTAAAGGAGTATAAAGGATGAAGGACAGAATATGGAGAAACAATAAGGGTGTACCACAAGGAGATGCATAGTTTGGCATAACACTACAGCACATACTAAAGAAAAGGAGATAGATGAGAAACGTTGAGAGACTGTAACATGCGAGCGACTTCCGGTATAGTATCGTGAAAATATCCAGGTTAAGACTTCTTTTTAGCCCATTTCTACAAAAATAAAAAAAATGCGCAATTGTGGCCACTTTGTCCGTCCGTACGTCCGTCCGCTCGTTCGTTGAGACGCCACTAGTTGAGCTATTGTTCTACTTTTTTCGCTATTTGGTGCGTTATGGTGTCGGTGGCTTGCACCAAGTGAGGAATTTTTTCTGCGTTTATTACTAAAAAAGTTATTGTAAAAAAACAAAAACAAAAACGTTTTTTACATGTTCCATAATTTTACACTTTTGCCGTTTATTAACGATCCTAGAGATCGTTTATAATTTTTTTCACTACTAGCGTCTGATGACATGATTATTAACCTTTTTTCCACTTGTAAAGTAGGCTTTCTCGGCATTTGTTCAAAGTGGTTAATAATTTTTTATTATTAACTAGTAGTCAATAATGAGAACTGTCACGCTGTCACTTTTAGAAAACACAACCCGAAATTTCGCTCAATAAACGTTTAGACAAGTTCTCTAAAACGAATAATTGCCACCATTCGCAATTTCCAGAGAAATTACATACCTAAAATTATCACATTTTGAAAAAATTCGAACGAAATTTCTCTTTGAAAAATCTCAATGACAGAACAAAATACGGCCTGTTTGACTTGTACTTCCACGTACTTGATTGACATGTTAAATTAAGAAACAAACAATTCTGTCCAACCGTTAACTTATCAATATAATATGTTAATTTAGAGGATTTCAAGTGCTAGTAGTGAAAAAAATAGTATATATACCACGGTAGAGAAGTCTATTATTGCCATCGCACCTTACACCCCTCGGCGCAAGCGCCTCGAGATGTAATCTTGGTGCTCAGGCAATAATAGTGGACTTCTCTACCTTGATATATAATGTACTATTGTATTGCTGTTGTCGCTTTGACATCTCCGTTAGTTATGAACTGAATTGCATGAAATTCAATATGGGCATAGCTTCAGCCATATAATACGCAATGCCAACAGTTGAGTCGAATGGATTTAAAATTCACAGGTGCCCTTTTCGCATCTCAACCATTTATAAGCCGAATTGCAAACTTTTTTAATTAGTAAGTATTTAAACGAAATTTGATACATAGGCACTTGGAACAAAGGAAAATCTAACGTTAGTTTCAAAATTTAGGTTTGCGCATGCGCAGTGCCAACTTTCTTATTTATGAAAACATTGAAATGAAATTCATCTTATAAACTGAAATTGAAGTCGGACGTCAAAAACTGATTGCTCCTATGCAACGCTATTATATCTTTCATATTTGTGGCCGGATTTTTACAATTATAACAAAAGTTGCATCTTACAAATGGGAAATGAATGCAAGTGGAAATCCGCTTTTTTTTACGATTACTTTTTTAACTTGTTTAACGTTCCATCTTTTAGTGAAGTAGTGCGCGTGGCCCTTGTTCGCTCATCGGTATAATTTACTTTTATTGTTATTTTGTTTCTTTTGTTGTCCCCTTCCCACAGTGGATGAAACGTATTATGCTTCTCGTTCTCCATTGATATGGTCTTATCCAGGAAGTCGCTAGCGTTTTAATAACTTAAGCCACAAAGATACAGAGTTCTCTCCGATGTCGGTCAACTGGAGTATTGAATAGACTATAGAGGTCTCGTAATTCTTCCTACCAAAACGTAATTCTTCGCGTTACCAATAAAAATACTTTCTTTTAGCCAATAATATCTCTAGACATCCAAAATGCCAGATACCTTGAACCCACATTGACGAAAAATTCGACAGAATCTTTTGAACGACCATATGAAGACTCCCCCAAAAATGTACCACCCCCGGTAAATCGTTCATCCACAGCGCCGCTGACTTACCTACTCAAATTCAAAGGAGAATCATCCCGGCTTAATTTTTATTTTTGATCTACAAAGTACACTAAAAATAAAGACCCGTGTGTCCTCAATTTTTACTTGAGAGTAAAATAAACCCAAAATAAATTATTGAAAAGCTGTGTTTTTAGTCCGAATTTGAAACGCTTCAGTCTAAATACGTCGCAAACCTGATCTGATGTTTGCCGGATGTTTAACTGCATCTAAAGCTGGATTCACATGAATACGAAATCCGACGATACGGTCATCCGAAATTCTTATGATTGGTCAATAGTTTGAAATGTCAAGCACATTTTAAATTATTGGCCAATCATAAGCATTTCGGATGATCGTATCGTCGGATTTCGTATTCATGTGAATCCAGCTTAACGCGAAAGTGAACGACAAGTGACAAGTGCCTGTGACAGGTGACACAAGTTACAAATGACATTCTCCTGCAATATTGCCAATTCGTTATGTCATCTGAATGATTCTAGGAGCCGATTGGTCGGGCTTATTACGTCACAGAGCACGCCACAATCATATCGTTTTGAATAAACCATTAAAACCGCACATGCTCATTATTTTTTTGCTAATCAGCCTCTATTTCTAAATAAACTTTTACTGTCCAAAAAATAAAAAATGTTTTATTGTTTCAGGTATATGCTTATTATATACTGTAAACCCCCATTGAACATAATTTTGACCAATAATGATACCTTTATTAATTCACAATGTTTGTGTCACCGTTTCCTATAGCAACCAACACTAACCATCAATCAATCTTTTAACCCCAATATTTAGTTGTATGTATAAATGGTACGTAGAGGCCGTGCGAATTGATGTCTATTCTTAGGTCTCTTTGTAGATATTATCCAGAGCGAAACCAGCTTTGCTGTCTAAAGAAAATGTGGCGGGCAAAGTTTCTGTCCGAACAACTTCTGCCAACAGCGACGTGCCATCCTTTGAGGACTTCCTTTCAAAACGAGATTACATGGGAGCAATAACTTTACTAGAGGTAATTATAGCTATTCGTCGTTTCCACCACGCAGTGGAATTAATGTAAATGCAGTTTCAGCACAGTCAAGATGCCAACGCTGACGTTGCTCTATGGATGGCGTATTGTGCGTTTCACTTGGGAAATTACAAAAAAGCTTTTGATATCTACACGAACATACTGGCAAAACATGGCCCAATTAAAAACGTTGTTGTTAACATAGCGTGCTGCAATTTCTATTTAGGTGAGTAACCGACTGCTTACAGTCCATGGAGTTAGCCAGCTAGGTTTTAGGAATGTACACGGAGTCGAAGGCGGCATTAGAAAAAGAATCGCAAAGTGGCCTTAAAACTCGATTAAATTTCCACCTCTCTCACAAACTGGGCGATGAAGTAGCACTGATGGAATATCACCAACAGCTTCAAGATATCTTAGAAGATCAGCTAAGTTTAGCCGCCATTCACTATTTGCGTGCACATTATCAGGAAGCAATTGACATCTATAAACGCCTGTTGTTGCAAAACAGGTAGGTCGCCAGGATCAGCATACTAGGTAACGTGTAAATTTTTAGAGAGAATTTAGCTTTAAATGTGTACGTTGCGTTGTGCTACTACAAGCTTGATTATTACGATGTATCCCAAGAAGTGTTGGGAATTTATTTGAACCAATACAATGATTCCGTTATTGCCACCAACTTGAAGGTAATCGCCGAATTTACCTAGTGGCGCCCATTCCAGTATTTTTTAGGCGTGCAATCATTTCCGTTTATATAATGGCGCAGCTGCC